CCCAGAGGAATTCCTGAAACCCCGCCTCCCCCAACTCGCGGCCACACCCCAGCCATATCCAGGTGTGTCCTCACTTAGTCAGGTGCCCCTTGCTGAGCAGCACCTACACTCACACTGGAGGCAGCTGGCCTCGGTTTCTGATGTGGCCTTTTGAGGCAACTATAAGCAGCATCTGTGGATTGCTTGCTGAATCTTAACAGGTGGCCCCAGAGCAGCACAGGCTGGGGCTAAATTTGGCCTGCAGCTGAACTCTTCTCAGGACTGTGCCACTGGATACCTACTGCACAAAGCCACACTAATAAGACTGGGATATTTAAGAGCTTTGCTTAGTACATAGAAACAGACACAGAAGGGCAGCCAAAATGAGAAGAAGAAGCAGCAGAAACCATATGAGAGAACAGAATACAGATCCAAGAGTAATGGAGTCAAGCAATCTATCAGATGCAGAGTTCAAAACACTGGTTATAAAGAAGCTCAATGAACTTATGGGAAGTATAAATGAATTTAATGAGAACTTTAACAAAGAGATTAAAAATAAAACATAAAATGGAAATGGAAATTATAAAAGGGAACCAGTCAGAAATGAAGAACACATTATCTGAGATAAGAAGTATATTAAATAGAATAAACAAAATGAATAAAGAAGAGGATCAAATGACCTATATACAGGATGGGAAAACCAAGGACACTCAATCAGAATGGCAAGAAAAAAGAAGCCAAGACTATAATAATAATTTAAGGAGCCTATGGGACACTATTAAAGAGAAAAATATCCATGTCATAGGGGTAAACAAGATGTTGAACAAGGAAAACAAGACGTTGAAGAGCTATTTGAAGAAGTAATGATGGAAAACTTTCCTAACCTGGTCAAGGAAATGGACATAAAACCCCAGGAAGCTCAGAGAGTCCCAAAAACCAGGAACCCAAAGAGGCCTACACCAAGACACATCATAATTAAAATGCCAAAGGTTAAATACAAAGAAAGAATATTAAAAGCATCAAAAGAAAAGCAATTAGTTACGTACAAGGGAGCACCCATAAATCTGGCAGCTGATTTCTCAAAAGAAACTATGCAGGACAGAAGGGCTTGGCACAAAATATTCAACGTGATGAAAACCCAGGATCTACAACCAAGAATACTTTATCCAATGAAGCTATCATTTACAGTTGAAGGACAGATAAAGAGCTTCCCAGACAAAAATAAGCTAAAGGAATTTATCAACACCAAGCCAGTGTTACAGGAAATGTTGGAGGGACTTCTTTAAGAAGAAAAAATATGTGTCAAAAACAGGAATAAAGAATGGTAATAACTACATTCCTATCAACAAGTACTTCAAATGGAAAAGAATTAAGTTCTCCAACCAAAAGATAGAGTGGCTGAATGGATAAGAAAACAAGACCCCTACATATGCTGCCTACAAGAGACTCACTTCAGGTTAAAAGACACACATGGACTAAAAGGAAGGGGATGGAAAAAGATATTCCTTGATGGACCTAGAGGTTATTACGCTGAATGAAATGGGTTGGATAGAGAAAGACAAATATTGTATGATTTCACGTACATGTGGAATCTAAAGAACAAAATCAACGACAACAACAAACGCAGAAATAAACTCATAGATACAGAGAATATTTAGAGGGCTACTAGATGGGTGGGGGTAGGGGGACAAAAAAAGGCAAATAGATTAAGAGGTACAAATGGATAGTAGCAGAATAGACATGGAGATGTAGAATGTAGCATGGGGAAGACGGTTAATAATGTGATAAATATGTAAGGGGAGGCGGGTACTAGATTTAGTGGGGTGATCGTTTTGCAAGTTCTGTGGATCTCTGATCACTATGCTATTACAACTGAAACTGGTATATTATTGTATGCCAACTATAATTGAAAAAAAAGTCATTGAATTGTACAATGTAAATTCAAGCAACTAATTGTCTATTATATTTCAATAAAGATGGGGAAAAAAGGATTAATTCTCTTAGTAGTTGGAAATCGACTCTTGAGTATAAATCTTACTGCTATAATAACAATGAAACACAGATACAATGAAAAATGGCAATGGTATTGTTGGCAGGTGGAGTCAGCAGAAGGCAAACCACATCTGCAAAAAAACTTGAATAATTGACAATTGAAAGAGAATGATATTGATCCTGTGATCTCACAGGGAGATAGTATAACTTGGTGGTTCTAGAAATGTGGCTTTCAATTTGAGTGGTTCTCAATGCTTCCTGGGAGACATTTGGCAATGTCTGGAAACATTTTATTGTCACGACTTGGAGGAGGAGGGAGATTCTACTGGCATCTAGTGGGTAGAGTCCAGGAATGTTACTACATGTCTTACAATGCATAGGATAACTCCCCCACAACCATGTATCTAGACCTAAATAGTGCCAAGACAAAACCTTGCCAGAGCACCTAGGTTTGAGTCACAGCTATGCCAATTGCTGTGTGACCCTGGGTTAGCATTTAATCTGAGCTTCAGCTTTCTTATCTGTAAAGTGGAGAGATTATAACTAACCACTAGCATATATTGAGTGTTATGTGCCACGCACTACACTCTGAGTGATGTTTCATTTGCTCCTTCCAAAATCTCTTTGAGGTACTGTTACCTCATTTACAGATGATAAAATAAAAGCTCATAGCACGTGCCTGGAACACAGTGAGCGTGAGGACTCAATAACTCTCATTCCATAGGTTTTTAAACTATTTTTTCAGAGTAGTTTTAGGTTCACAGCAAAATTAGGTGGATAACACAGAGTTCCCATATAACCCGAGCCTCCACACGTGCATAGCCTCCACCACCACTGACGTTCCATTGCTTCAATTAATGAAACTACATTGACGCATAATCACCCAAAGTCCATAGTTACATTAGGGAGGGTTCACTCTTGGTGGTGTACATTCTCTGGGTTTGGATAATTGTATAACGACATGTACCTACCATTATGGTACCATACAGAATAGTTTTCACTGCCCTAAATATCCTCTGTGCTCCACTTGCTCATCTCTTCCTCCTTCTAACACTGATCTTTTTACTATCTGTATAGTTTTGATGCAGGACAGGGAAAATTTCCTCAAGTGACGGGGAGACCAAGCCCTGCACCGAGAGAAGAAGAGGGTCCTTTGGCGGAAAGCGAAGCAAGAACTCAACGCACATGCCCAAGTTAGAGTCAAAAGGAAAGTTTATTAGAAAAGGGATAACACTCCACAGAGTGTGGTCTCCTCAGAGAGGCAGAGAGCGAGAGGGACGGTGAAAGAGACAGCGAGAGTAAAGGCATTGGGAAGGACCCTGGGTGTTGAGGGAATTCAGTTTATATGTCATTCTTTAGTTCCCATTTCCTTTGATATGGGCATACAGTGAAGAAAGGGAAGAGTATGTAAAGTGAAAGGCCTGCAGGCAGTTCCCAGCCTTTCTGCTTCCCCTTCACAGGTGTGAGGAATGGGCTGTTAGCAATCCAGCAGAAATCTTCCTTTACTCTGAAGGTGTCCTCCTGCCCTGGCTGTAGGGCTGATCAGCATATTGCAGTCTGTGAATGTAGCTTGCTTAACATTTTAATTCTCTTGCCTCCTCCCATACAGTTGGAAACATACGCTATATAGCCTTTTCAGATTGGCTTCTTTCAATTACTAATATACATTTATGGTTTCCTCATGTTTTTTTCATGGTTTAATAGCTCATTTCTTTTTAACACTAAATAACATTTCATTGTCTGGATGTACCACAGGTTATCTCTTCACCTATTGAAGGACAGCTGGGTTGCTTCCAAGCTTTGGCAATTATGAGTAAAGCTGCTATAAACGTCCTTGGGCCGGTTTTTATGGGGACATAAAATTTCAAATCTTTTGGTAAATACCAAAGAACGTGATTGCTGGATCATACGGTAAAGTACCATTAGATTTTCAAAAAAGGTTAATTGAGCAAAGCATATTTTCATTTTTTCCAACAATCTTGACTGTTAATAATAAAATTACTAGGTTCTCCGGCTGCCCTACTTAATGAAAACCTGTTTAGTAAAATGCAATAAGCTTCAACTATCTTTAGTAGGAAAACACATATCAAGAATGAGAAATGTATACTATAGATTCACTCCATAATCAGAAACTTCTCTGCCAAAGGAACTCTGAAAGTTTACTTTTTTGGAGGGCAAAAATAATAATGACCTAATGGCGGTCGAGGGGGTGCTCCCGAGGCAGCCCTGAGGCGGCGCCTGTTTAAAGGCAGTCAAGGGATTTCAGCCGTCTACCTTAAGAGGGGCTCCACCCACATTTTGGTTGGTAGCCAAGTTTGCTCAGCCGGGTACAGTGTAAATATTCTGTTGAGAGCATGAACTGTAGTGTAGCAAAGAATGTTTTAACCCAGCTGAGATCGTCGCCACCTGACCAACTCCCAAAAGAACGGACAAGGCGCATCCATCATGGCTGCCGGCGACCGCACAGCGAGAGGCAACTGAAAAGAAATGGCGCCAAGGCGTGCGGCCACTCAGCAAACCTAGGGCAAGGCGGCGGGGCCACTCTCAGCAAACCTAGGGCAAGGCGGCAAGGCCATCCAGCCGGAGCGCCAGCCAGGGACCCAAAAGATTCTCTTGGACTTTTGGCACTTGGAGGCCCAGAAACTTAACTACTGCAACATAAAGGCCAGTTATTGTCTCTGCAAAGCAACTTGCACAGGCGGGCGCCATTCCGTCCCACGGTGGAACCCAACAAAATCCTCTATTCTCCAAACAGAATGCGTTACGCAGACTACGCATCTTCGCAACAGTGGGCTGGCTAACCACGCAAAGAATGTTACGTAGCGCCGGAGGCTCTTCTCCCCACCCCCACCCTACGTTCTAATTCAGGCGGCACGAGAACTCTACGCCTAATCCGTACTTTGTTTTCCTTCTACCGACCGCAAAGTGCGTCCACCTCCGCAACCGACGTAAAATGCTTCCAAGAATACCCATAGTACTCCGCGAAGCCCTCGGGCTATTCCGACACGCTGTTTACGTATCGTCTCCGACGTACGTAGCGTTAAGCTGGAGCAGTCTCGGTGCCGGCCGCCATTTTGTGCAGTCGCCGGGAAGGAAGGAGACGCCTAACCCGCGGTATCGCCGGGTTTGAGCGTAGCCAAACCTACCCACTAACTTTATAATCCCGATTCTCTGTGTTTTGCTCCCGTCTCCGACGAGAGAGGCGGCGACGGTGGCGTCTGCGACGGGAGACAGCGCGTCGGAGCGAGAGAGCGCCGCGCCTGCCGCCGCCCCAACAGCGGAGGCGCCGCCGCCATCGGTCGTCACCAGACCGGAGCCGCAGGCCCTCCCGAGCGCGGCCATCCGTGCCCCGCTCCCAGATCTTTACCCATTTGGGACCATGCGCGGAGGCGGCTTTGGGGACCGGGACCGGGATCGTGACCGTGGAGGGTAAGGGGGGGTGGAGGAGAGGAAAGGCCTGGGTGTGCGTGGGGGGTGGGGCGGTCGCTTCCTGAGGAGACCGCAGCCTGCGGTCTAGCGGGAGACGTTGAGCGGCCTGCAGGCTTGGAAGCGACGCTCCCGACTCGGGAGGCGACACCACCCGGGACATAATAGCGATTGTGGGCTCGGGCCTCTGGGTGGGCTTGGGCCCGGGGATCACTGATAACCCGGCGGAGGCGGGGGATGGTACCTTGGCGACGCCCCAACTCCTTGCGGACTGCCGTGGTAGCGTGGTTCGGCCCTGGCCCCGCGGGGTGCTGGAGGGGCGGCTGGGCGGTCGCAGCCCCGAGCCCGGCCGATTTAGGCAAGTCATTTGATCGCTCCTGGCCTCAGCCTCTCTCTGTGAAACACAGATGTTCATGTTGAGAAGAGAATGAGGTCTCCGAGTTCAGCCTAGGAAAATCTTAACGTGAAATGGCTTCCCTTATGTTATCTATCGCCACGGATGACTGTTAATGGAACTGGAAACCTGGTTTGAAACTAGAGACTAAAAGACTGACTTCTAGTTTTAAAAAAACCTTTAAATTCCTTTTAGTCGTATTTACATAATTTGAAGGGCGCATGTTGGCATATAAAGCAATGAATTGCCATCTAAATGACCGTGTTTAGTGAGGGAGTGTTTTTTCTTTGGTCATTACCGTAGTTTTTCCCTCCATGTTTCGGTCTGTTTTCTGTAATTGGACTGGAACAATAACTTCTCGGCCTAGCTAGAAAATTTTTGGTGTAGTAACGGCAGTTAACAGAGTTGGAAGTTAACAGGATTAGAACTGAAGTTCTAATTTCCCAGATACTGAAATTCAAATCTTAATGTCAGTTAAACGAAAAAATTGCTTAAGAGGTAGATACATGTTGATTTGTTATTACTTTTTTTGTAGCGAAAGTCATATCTTTGGATAGAAAGTAAAGTGACGCTCCTTAACGTATATGTGACCTTGGTCAATATCTTAAATCTTTGTGAGCCTATTTTCTAATCTGAAGATGGGGATAATAATTGCCTCTACATTGTTCTTGGGAGTTGTCTCTTTGTAGTAGTTCTGTTAATATTTTCTCTTTTTTGTCTTTTGTTCAAATACACGCATCAGATTTTCTAGTCACAAGCACCTCAATTATCACTTAATTTACAAAGTAAAAAGATTGTTTTGATTTATACTTCGTTGGGAAGGAAAACATTTGACTCTAGTGTTAAGTTTGGAAGAATAAGAGTGGAATGTTTGCTTAGTGTTTCACAGTATAGCTAAATTTAGAAGCGAATTTCAGTTGAAGTGCTTAGGAAAAAGAATTTAACATTACTAGGAAAGTTGAAAATCACACAGTCATACCTCTCTTGAGCTTTATACCCTAGACTCTAAGGCCTAGAAAAACTCTTGCAGACGGGCCCCAGTATCCCTGTACAACGTTTGTTTATACCAGCATCATTCATGACAGTATTGGAAACAGCTCAAATGTCTGGATTAACTGAGTATTCATACAGTAGAATACAACAGCAATAAGAAAAAAAGCTCGTATCAACATAAATGACTCAGTATTGAGTAAAGCAAGTTGCGTTAGGGTAATGCATATGAGGATACGTACAAATGTGACAAGACTAAAAGCAAAAGGCATGGGAATGGTTAAAATTTGAGATAATTTTGGTGGGGGTTGTAAACCTGAAATAGGCACATAGAGGCTACCAAGGTTTTGGTAATGTTCTGTTTCTTTCCTGTGGGTATTTGACTTACTATTTAATTGAATTGTAAATGTGCTTTAATAATAAAAATTTGAAAAGAGAAAAGTGGATTACTGTCCCGTACTTTATCTCATATTGACTCTTTAGTATCAGATGACATTTTTAAACAAAACGATAACTTTAATAAGGTCTGTGCCTTGACTCTGCCTTTACTATGAAATTTCCTTTGTTTTCAGTTGCTGTTTGGTCCTTAACTGAACGTTAAAGAGCTGAAATTGATTATTTGAAAAGGGAATGAGTGAGATAAGTGTACATGTACTGTCCAAAAATGTGCAGTTTATTTAAACTAGCATGATATTGCATGTTAATATATAAATCTTCAAAGCTGCATTTATTGTAAAGCCAAATTAAACTTTATACTCAAAAACATTTAATGAACAGCACAGTATGCTAGAGATGAGGATACATGCATCTTTAAAGGATGGTACAAATGTGCTCAAAATTCTGCAAGAGTAAAAGGCTCTTTTGAATATTGAAGTCAGCATATTTATAAAGAACCCTATGTTTCAAGTTATATGTTTAGTGTAAGATAGTATGCCTTGGATAATTAGCCAAGGCAATAGGGAAAAAGAAAAATAATTTAAGGGCAACTTTGAATCAACTTTAAAAGGAACCTTATTTTGAAAAGTTCTATTTTCTAGATCCTTAGTTTAAGGTCTGGTAGCATTGGAATGCAGTAGCAGCTTTGAAATGGCATGTTTTGGAAACCACATAAATTGATATAAACTAGACCAACAATCCAAACATTGGTCTTTGGTCATTTTTATTTTCTCTGCAAGATTGTTTAGAGACTTTGCTTTTTTATTATTAAAATTCCGATGGTTGCTTCATTTACAAGTGAGCGGGGAGGAGTCGATCAGGGTGGTCTTTTGGTGGGTTCAGTATTGAACTTTGGACCTGAGGCCGTATTGCAGATATGAATATTTTGTCTTTGATATATGTATCCCTGTGCAGTTTGCTTTTCTTGTAGTATGAATGGAATCGGAATCAACCCAGTTCTGCCTATTGAATGTAAATACTGAAAAAATCTGCCATCAATCTTTGTATTTAGAGAAACAACTAGCTGGGTCTTAAAACCAGAGTTTTAACAATTGTTTGAATTCCAGGAAATTAAGGCCCTTTAAAATAGTACAACTACTGCGTGTCAATTATAAAGTGGCACCATCTGCAAGATGTTATGAGTGGATTAGAGTGGAAGGGGATGTTCAGTATAGTGTTTTCAGGAGTAAAGCAGTGGGATGAAAACATGCTATGTACTATTTGTATATCAAACAATGCCCCCTACTTTAGTAGGTTGAAATACAGAAATGAAGGCCATCTTAAGTATTAGGATTCTTCGGGAAAAGAACATTTCAAGTTCTGCTAGTGACCATATTTGTATTCCAACTGGATTTGTCTGATGTGAAAATTAGATAAAGCAAAAAGATTGGTTTTAAATAATCTGAGTTTTAAAACCTTAAATAAGACTTCATTATTTAAGTGGTTTCTTTGGTAAATTTATAATAGTACTGTTTGCCTGAGAACAAAAAGATGATAAAGGTGGAAATGAAAATGAAGGAAAGGTCATAAATCTTTGTTTCGGTTATATTTATTAGCATAAACTAAAGGTGAAGAGTAGCCTATCAGTTTTTTTAGAGGTCCTAATAGTTTTCCTTAGATTAGCAGACAGAAGGAGTGCTCGTCACAGAAGCTGTTCAGGTATGAGGAGACTCACTGGAAGTATCTATCTTACCCTTAATTTAAGCTTAAAGTAATGTTCTCCCTTACCTACTTCTCTGAATATTACACAAGAGGAGTAGAGCCTTCCGTTTCATTCACTTTAGTATCTCAACCACTTAAAACAGGACTTGATACCTGATTGATACCCAGTAACAATTTTTCGAGTTCTAAGTCTTAGTTCTGCGTGCTTACTACACCATAAACTGTTTTAAGCACTTTACACATACTTCATCTTTACAGCAACTTCTGAAATAGGTATTAGTATTATTTCTGCATAAGAAATTGAGGGCCAGGGAAGTTAAATAATTTGCTCAAAGTGGCAGAATCAAAATTTAAACCTCTTCAGATTCCAGAGTCTGGTTGTAATTCCCATGATACTTTTCTCTAAATATAATAAATTTTAACTTTTCACCTATTGTAGTCATACCTGTAGCAATATTGTTGAATAGTAAAGAAAGTTGTTCGAACTGCTCCGTGCCCTCATATAAGAGTAACAAAATGCTCTCTTTAGAGGGGCTGGTAGTCCCATCTTTTTGCATGGTTTTATGGCACCTGAGTTATATTGCTTTAAAACTAATAAACTAAAATTTTAATATTTCTAGATTTGGAGCAAGAGGTGGTGGTGGCCTTCCTCCGAAGAAATTTGGTAATCCTGGGGAGCGTTTGCGTAAAAAGAAGTGGGATTTGAGTGAGCTCCCCAAGTTTGAGAAGAATTTTTATGTGGAACATCCAGAAGTGGCACGGCTGACTCCAGTAAGTTTTGGGGGGTTGTTTATGTATTTATCCTTTTTAATATACAATAATAAACCAAGTAGACACATTAGCCAGAATTTACATATATATTGCTGTTGCTGTTGTATGTATTCTAGTACAATGATACTTTCCTTAGCTTCTTATTAAGACTGCTAGTACTCAAGAGGAACCAGCTTAAATATGTACCTAATGTATTGATTGCTTGGTTCTCATTTGTTGGTTATGCTTCGAACCAATTTGTCATAACTGGTATTAACTTTATGAGGTTATGATTTTTTATCTCTGAAGTTAAATTTTAAATATTAGCATTGTCTTTTTAATCTCATGATTCCTTTGGTCTCTGCACATTGTGGTTACTTGCTCAGAAGTGTCATGGAAAGAGCACTTTATTCCAAGTTCTATATTTTATCTGTTTTCTATGTGAAAAGTGGAACTCTTATCAACCTATTTCATTGACTTACAGAGTTGAGAGGATCCTCACACATTTTCCATTTTAATTTCGAATTATATGATAATTGTTCAGCTGGATTGGAACATAAAAGTTTTGCATGTTTAGAATAACTTGTTTCCTAATTTGTCTTACTTTTCCTCCATAGTATGAGGTTGATGAACTACGTCGTAAGAAGGAGATAACAGTGAGAGGGGGAGATGTTTGTCCTAAACCTGTGTTTGCCTTCCATCATGCTAACTTCCCACGTGAGTGTTCACCAATCCAGAATCTTAATTGTTAATTTGGGTTGAATGGTAAACATGAGTAATAAATACATCATTTAAAGGTTTCAACCCATACTCAGAGTTTTGTTGAAAACCTTAGTAGAATGTCTTTTATGAAGATAATGATTTATGTTACGTAAATTTTTTAAAACCTGCTCAAGGCTAGAAGTAAATACCATATTGTTGCATGCTTATCTGTTTTCTGATTTAGAACCTTTTCTTTTTTTTTTTTTTTTTTTTTTTTTAGTTTCTTCTTCCCCTAGGGGGTTTCACCTCTGCCTTTTAGAAAACACAAGAATGGAATGGTTTTTTAGCTGGATATAGTTTGAATTTGGCAAACAATGAGTGACTACCATGTGCCAATGCCTTGTTAGATACTTGAGGGCAGGGGTTCTCAAGTTTTTGAGGGGAAAGGTAGATGGCCGTGGCAGCATCCTTCTGAGAGGAAGTAGTCAGCAGGTCAGAGATTTAGTAACTAAAGAGAAAAACACTTCTCTTGGAGAGAGATAAAGCCGAGTAAATCTTTCCTTCAGTAAGCTTAACAGTTTTATTAAATTCTTTTTGGCTATGTTCTTAGTTTTACTTAAAAGGAGTAAGTAACATCCGTCCTATTACAGAGTATGTAATGGACGTATTGATGGATCAGCACTTCACAGAACCAACTCCAATTCAGTGCCAGGGATTTCCATTGGCTCTTAGTGGCCGGGATATGGTGGGCATTGCTCAGACCGGCTCTGGGAAGACACTGGCGGTATGTACCAGATTTTTAACATCGGGGTAACTTATTTTGCTATTCAAATTATCCCGTATATTCTCAATTTTTCATAAAATTTGAATTCAGATAGCATAGGTAATATTTCACTTTTTTAGCTATATGAAATATGTGGCAGCATTTCGTGTTTAAATTTACATTGCACATGTGTAACAGTTGTGCGTACTGTTTTAACTTTCCTAGTTATGCATTATCAATTACTGCAATAATTTAGAGCTTTTAAAGTAGTGGCTTAGTTTTCTTATAAGACTTGTCTTTTTTCCTCTCAGTATTTGCTGCCTGCAATTGTTCATATTAACCACCAGCCATACTTGGAAAGGGGAGATGGTCCAATCGTAAGTGTGTTTTAGTTTGCTTATAATTCTAAGAAAAACTACAGTTTTATGATTATTGTGTTTTAGGCACCGTACCGTACATGTGTTTTCAGATTTCATTCTCATCTCCATCCTCCATATCTAGAAATATGTTATTCTCATCTTACTGATAAATTTTAGGCAGTGATACTAAGTTACTTGTCCAAGGTCATACAGCTATAAAATAGCTGAGCTTGAATTTGAGTCTTACTCTTAACCACTGTACATACTACCTTCATACACAGGCATTAATTCAAGTGCAGTTCTTAATTGCTCAGTGATTTTGTGAGGGATACAAAAGAGATATGAAATGAGGTCCTTGCTGTGTGGTTTTAAGTCAGGTTTGGGATGTGTATTCTTTGTGATTAAGTGATACTTCGTAAATGTCAATAGGGCAGCATGATTTTATTGTTTGATTATTTTCACTTGTACTATTTCTTATGAGATTTGAGTAGCATTCTTTAAACATTTAGAAAGTACTTTTTTTAAATTGAGCTTGCACTTGCTGTATTTATAAAGATCTACGTTGTTACAGTTATGTCTCAATATTTACAAAAAGAAATAATGTGTTACTTTGCATCTTGTAATATGCAGTGTGTTCCATATAGCTGATTTAGCTTATCATTAGGTATTATCTAATGGATCAGTACATAGCGCAAGAGTCATTGTTAACAGTGTAGATGATAACCTATTTCAGACTGTCTTAATTTTATATTATTTTGGCCAACTACTTATTAGATTACGTGTCTTTGCTTTTGTCTAATGTGACTGGTAAGAGCTTAAACTAGAAGTCAGAAAAGTGTCAGCTCTGCTGTCATTCTTCTGTTTAATCCATGGTTTTGTTGCAGGGGTATTTTAAAGCCACTTGTTCACTTTGCAAGTTGTTTAGTTAAAACCAGGCAATACAGTCTATAAATCTACTTAAATAGCATACATACACAGTAGTGAATTCTGTTTGAAAAGTAAACCATCATTCTACGTGCTAACTACTCTCCTAACTTTTTGCCACATTCCAGTGCATTTTCTCATACCTCTGCCTTCCCAACCTCCCACCCTAATACATACTTTGAAAGTACCAAGTCAGACAACAGAAAAAGAATTAGATGACCTTTTGTCTTTTTTTTAACTTATGATGTGTGTCTCAAGTGTATGTTTATTTGTTCCAGTGTCTGGTCCTGGCTCCTACTAGAGAGCTTGCCCAACAAGTACAGCAGGTGGCTGATGACTATGGCAAATGTTCCAGATTGAAGAGTACTTGCATTTATGGAGGTGCTCCTAAAGGTCCCCAGATTCGAGACTTGGAGAGAGGTAATTATTTTTTAATTCAGCATGTAAGAATTATTAGTTTATCTCATTTTGCCAATTTTCTATGAATGAAATTAAAGAGAAAAATAGTGGGTTCCTATGGGAAAAATTGGCATTTTAGCAGCTTAAAATTTCTCGGGTATGGTTAAAATACTATTTTGGAAAAGCTCAATGTGGCTAGAGACTTAATACTTTGTGAAGATTTGATTATTATACATAAATGCTCCTTACATCATGCTTTTCCAAGTACTGTGTTAAAAGTTAGCTAGTATTTAATATACTAGTAGAGGTAGTGCTGCTTAGTTTGCTGAGGCTTGGACAGTGGGTAAAGAATTCTTAGTTGCTAGAACTTCAATTTTGTTTTACAGGTGTTGAGATCTGTATAGCTACTCCTGGGCGCCTGATAGATTTCTTGGAGTCGGGAAAGACAAATCTTCGCCGATGTACCTACCTTGTACTGGATGAGGCTGACAGAATGCTTGATATGGGTTTTGAACCCCAGATTCGTAAAATTGTTGACCAAATCAGGGTGTGTAAAGCTGATAATGTGCTGTTTATGTCCTTTGCCTGTTACAGTTCTTTAGCCTAAAAGTAAGCCTTTCTTTCTTTATAGCCTGATAGGCAGACACTGATGTGGAGTGCAACCTGGCCAAAAGAAGTAAGACAGCTTGCAGAGGACTTCCTTCGTGATTACACCCAGATCAATGTAGGCAATCTGGAGTTGAGTGCCAACCACAACATCCTCCAGATTGTGGATGTCTGCATGGAAAGTGAAAAAGACCACAAGTATGGGAGATTTCACTATTTTGATAATGCTGATAAACTTTTCCTAGTAATCTTCCAAAATTAAAGCATTAAAGAAACTAATATTTTTTTGAGGCCTGAAAATACTGAAAGCATTGCTAGGTTTCCAACAGTTCATCCTTCATATCACTTATCAGAACCTTTTGGTTAAAGGCAAGGATTCTGGATCCTTGGATTTGAATCTCAGCTCTGATAATTATCAGCTGTATAGAAAATAATGTTAAAAGTACTTAGCTGTGGGGGTTGATATTGCAGGCATAGCTTCTGCGTAAAGTATAGGGAGGTCTCTGGATGACTGATGTCATTGGTCTCATCTTCAGATTGATCCAACTCATGGAGGAAATAATGGCTGAAAAGGAAAATAAGACAATAATATTTGTAGAGACGAAGAGACGCTGTGATGACCTCACTCGAAGGATGCGCAGAGATGGGTGAGTGCAGCACTGAGGTAATTGGCCTCAGGTTTTATAGTTAGCAGTTTCGAAATTGGTATTGTGAATGTTGTATAATATTAATAATGTTTAACACACACTTCGTTCTTTAAATGGACACAGTCATCTACCTATATAGTCTGAAAGACTTCACAATTGCATATGGTTGCATTTCTTTTTAAAGCTCAATTTCCCTCCCCTTTTTTTTAAAGATTTCTAAAATATTGGTCACTTTTTTCCTGACAGTTGGCCAGCTATGTGTATCCATGGAGACAAGAGTCAACCAGAGAGAGATTGGGTACTTAATGGTGAGTTCAAAACTAAGCATTGTTCATACTCTTTCAGGGATTGACAGATTTTCTGTAAAAGGACCAGGTAGTAAACATTTTGGCTTTGCAGACTCTAGGATGGTTTGTGTCACAAGTATTGGATTTTGTGCTGTTGTAGCAAAAAAATGACCATAGAGAATCTGTAAAGAAAAATCTTGGCTGCATTCTAACAAGACTTTATTAGAAAAAATAGGCATTATGCCAGATTTGACCTGCAGGCAAGTTTGCATAGCTCTGCTCTAGTTCATGGACTTTGGGGGGCATTTCGGGCATATCTTTGCTGTCCTTTAAGGTCAGTAATGCTGGCTCTTCACATATTTTCACAACCTAAACCACCTTTTTATATAATAAGTTCGTGTCTTTATAGGTGTGTTCACCAGCCCGGAAGCTTCCCAAACCCCATACTTTGGGGATTTCTATGGAGACTTCATCCCATAGTCATGAATGATCATTAACTCCATCTCTAGCTCTTCTTCCTTTCTTGGAGGTTAGGGGAATGGAACTGAAAGTTCCAAGTTTCTAATCATGGCTCGATTTTTTTTTTTCTTTTTTTTCTTTCTTTTTTTTTTTTCCTTTGGTGCTTTGTCCCCATCAAGGAGCCCATTAAGTGTCACCTCATCAGAACAAAACACTCCTATCACCCAGGAAATCTCATTGATTTAGGAACTCTGTCTGGAACCTGGGTCAAAGACTAAATATTAGAATAAAAGATTCTCATAGCATCCCTATTTACAAGGGTTTTAAGAGCTCTGTGTCAGGAACTGGGGCAGAAACCCCAAAATATGTTTTTTCCTGTTATTTCACAGGGGAAAGTGGTTTCTCCTTTTGTTCTGCACCTTTTAAACTTGTGCCCCCTGCCATTTTCTTTTTCATTTGGGAGATAACTTTAGTGTCCTACTTTAAGGGGAAAAATTTCTAGATCATATAATTTTGTTAAAAATCACCACGCTGCCATTTGCAATGACATAGATCTAGAGATTATTATGCTGAGTGAAATAAGAAATATAAATACCATATGATTTCACTTATATGCAGAATCTAAGGAACAGAAAGAACAAACTAATCAAAAACAGACTCAAATATAGAGGACAGTCTGGTGATGGCCAGAGGGGAGGGGCTTGGGGGCCTAGGAGAAAGAGATGAAGGGTTAAAGAAGTACAGGTTAATAGTCGATAGATGGTCATGAGTTTGGGGAGCATGGCATGGGGAATGCAGTCACCAGTAATGGCTAGATAGCTAGAGGAGAGAAAGGGAAATTAGGGGGAATCGTTTTATAAAACTAAAATTTCTAACCAATGTACCGTATACTTGAAACTAATAATAAAATACTAAAACAAATTTGCCATGCCGTTTTATGGTATTTCATTATTAGAAGTAAATGTTTATCTATTACTCCTCTGACCCCCTGCTAAAGGAGAATGTAATAAAGATTTTCAAAAGAATTACTATTTTCCATACATTTAAAAGATCTCAGCATGTTCTCACACCATTACTTGAAATTTTGCCATGGTAGCTTAAAAAGGCCAGGTAGCTAGGAATGTTTATTTGGCCATTTTTAAAGACATATCACTTAGCCTTGAGTGGATAGCTTGGTTTTCATAGTGTCATTCTTGTTTTGCAGAGTTCCGTTCTGGAAAGGCTCCCATCCTCATTGCCACAGACGTAGCCTCCCGTGGGCTAGGTTTGTATAGATAGGTGTCTCTGTCAATGGTATATGTATCTTTTGGTTTAAAAATTTGTTTGTCATTTCACATTAGAGTTGTATATATGTGTGTTTAAATACTTACAAGAGAAGAATACAAAGCGTGATTTTTCCCTCCCACAATTTTTTTAAAACGTGGTGTTTTGGGGGTGGTGGGTGTTGTTTTATTTTCGTTTTTTCTTTTGTTTTCAAAGTCTCTTCCTGTTCCTAACAAACAGGCTTTGGTCTGCAGCAAGGCCTAGGCATGACTGTTCAAACAGTTAGAGGGAGAGGAGACATTCAGTTGAACAGCTCAACTTCCTGGTTTTATTCTGTTATCTGGCTGGATAGAAATGAGCCTGATCGAACTTAGCTGTTAGAAACTAATTTTTTCAGTTATTCTTTTCCTTATACGAGTTTATCTGTGCTAGCTATATATGGAGGTCCAATTCTGTGAATGCTAACATAATACTATATTCTCAGGATTTAATAAGTCTTCTTAAACACGGTATTGTTCAGCAATTAAATCTGCATTGCCCAATTTTACTGAAGTAAAATTATCGTGGGCACTCGGTCATCCTCGACTCCCACCCATAGTCATATCAATGATATGCTGTGTTTCAATTTAAGAAGTTAATCTGAGGTTGGTGGTTTCTGAAGTTTTCGGCCCATTATGATTTAAGATACATAGAGACATTTTGTTGTACTTTAGCCTATTAGCTTAAACAGGGGTAACTTAAAACTTTTATATTAAAAGATATTTCTGTCACGAAGATACCTTTAAATTATCGACAGGTATTTAATTTCTTGCCCAGTAAGGTGAGAAGCACCATATTCCCTTACAATGTTCCATGTAAAGAGAAAAGTATTCAAAGTGGAATACAAAAGTAACGAAGACTTTTTATACATTGCACCCATCATTCCCTCCTTCAGAGGTGGTGACCTGCAGCCATGACTGAAAATTGTCTCTGCCCTCTGAGGTCATGTCTGGATCTGTGCGGTTAGAACTTGGGCCTGTTGGGAGAAGAGGCTGAGGCCTGAAAGCAGCTTACATAAAAGCTTTCAGTGATGGTGGTTTTTAAACAGGCTTGCTATGTGCTGGTAGCTTCTTTGTGCATCTTGCCTAGACAATTAAAAATATTTGTTCCATGTCCCCCTGCATTTCCAAACCAAATCAATTGGCTACCATTAGAATAACTTAGACTCTTCATCCCACCCCCCACTCATCCAAGTGAGGGGAGACGGAAGGTACCTGAGTCTGTTTCTTGTTACTCAACATCAGTGCTTGTTTTGGGCCCCTTTGTTTGCTGCCTTGTAAAAATCAAAAGGAGGGGGAAAACCCACCAAAATGGCAGAATGCTGACCAAGGTCCTACAAGATCCTGGAAAGTGAAGGCTTCTACCTCATAGACAGGGGTGCGATTTTCAGCTGAGTCACCAGGCCTTTTTTCACTTCCTGTCGAGCGATGGCCTCTTAAATGTTCCCTTCAGGTAAGTTCTTTGATTCCCATAATGTTATAATAGTCATCCTCAGGCACCCACTATTTATTACTCCCTTTCCACTGGGATATTTTTGATTTTTCCTTTTTTTGTTTAAACTACACACTGTTAAGCTAAAAGTATTGAATTTATTTTGTTTTGTTTTTTAACAGAAGCTTTGATATCAGCTGCAGATCACTCGGTACATGGCCGAGGCAAATCTTCATTGGCCCGAAGCAGCTCTAGATGAGCCTATTGGCTAGTCTCAGTCCCTCCCAATTAGTGATTGGAGATTGAGGCCATGTCATAGGGCTTGTCAGACAAAAAGTTGTTATCCTAGGCAGCTGGCCAAAATATTAACTTTTCAATTTCTCACCCTGCTACAGCATCTTCTCTAAAGGCAGCAAGATAATATTGTGGCCGTGCACAAATAACATCAGGGCAGGCTTGACTGGAGAAAATCAAATTCTGCGCTTGCTCTTATGTGTCCTCAGCCAGCTCTGTGTATATACACAGGACACCTTTCTAGTATGAAGAACTTGCACCATGTCTGCCCCCTATTGAATCCCTCCAGAAATACTCCCAAGTATTATCTGAACCATTGACTTCAGTCCCCAGTGCTTTCTGCTAGGAAAGCATGCGTCTGGGCATCCAGTGCAGTAATTCAGCCTGCTCTGCTATCCATGGTCATACACGATGGGAATTGACTAAGGAGCATTTTCCCAGCTCTGAAGATGTGGTCATGGAGCATAATTTCCCATCCCCCACCTCACACCCATCCTGCCCTGTACATTTTTGTTTATCCCTTGTTTCATCAACGACCTTGGCCGGAGACTCACGCTGCCCCCTGTGATGACTGCCTTCTCGTCTTTCTGGTGTGATTTCAGGACTTTAGGGGTCAGTAAAGACTGAGGAGCCTTTATTGTAATAAGAAACAGACATAATGCCCCTTTCTTCACAGGCCCTTTAACAATAGCTGAATTTTTTTTTTTTTTTTTTAATCATCACCCCTTCCCCCCCTGAAATTAATCCAGTCTGGGCAATAGATGCAGTCTGACCCTTTGGATGTAACTTACATTTTTTTATTAATTATTTTTTTCTACAATCACCCCAATTATCCTTGGGGGGAGGCGTTGGAGGACCTGAAATTTTTACCCGAACCCAGGTTCTCCGGCGCTTGGCAACCAAATGGGGCTACAGAGAAGCATCTAAGCCAGTTCACAGAGCGAGCGTGTGTGGGGACTTCTCACTGCCACGGACCCTTGATGCATGCTCCCCGCGCTCCAGTGGTCCCGTGTCAGAAGGCGGAGTTTTCGAAAGGAGGCCGCCAAATATAAAAGGCAGAGAGACGGGATCGGCTGCAGCGGTTTCCCACAGGAGGAGGGAGTGTGCATCGGTCTGGTAACAAACAGAGAATGTTTCTTAATTACTTCTATCACAAAAATCTGTGTTTTATCTAGGATATTTTCTGAATATTCTTTGTAAAATGCAGATTTTTTTTCCACAAAACATTAGGAGTCTTTGTTATAGTCTTAAATTTGTTTGTTTAAGTAGGTAAAAATAAACATTTAGCTGAAAGCATTACACTAACATTTACATACTTTAAGCATTAGGAGGTTATTCAACCCAATTCCCAGCAGTGGATAGAACATTAAACTTGTGTCTCAAGGTTTCATGGTTTTTCCCACACTCTTTGGCTATTTAATTTCCCAGGTTACGTAGACAATCAATAATTGAAGCAAGTACTGAGTTAAAATAACCTTGAGTTGAGCAAAAACCTCATTTGGCAGAGCTGGGCTTGGTAGTACAGTGAAATTTTAGTGTAATGTGCTCTTGTGGTAATTGAAAGGGGTATGATAATTTGGTTATTTCTGTGAAGGAAACTAGATGTGTACTTGGGCTCTGATCAGTTTTTAAAATATAAGAGCAAAATTTAATATTTCGATTAAGTCTCCTTTAAAATGTCGTAATAAAGTATATGAAGTTTCTTTTTCATTTTGCTCTGTGACTGGTTTAAAGGTAAGTTTGTTACATTACTGGTAGATTTTGCCAGGCTTCTCCCAACAGAGTAGAAGTGATTTGGCCTTGTAACTTAACGGTGCTACTGTCTTCTACATTCCAGTTTCGAAAAGGATAGAGCTGGAATTTGGTACAACTCCTGTCAGTATATTGGTTAAAATACAGAAGAGGCAGGAGTTTGGATGGTCGAATGGGATTCCCTTAGGGTTTGAAGCTGATAAAGATGCCACTTTCTATGCATGTCCCAAAAATCATTAATCCTCTTTTACTCTGTTGGGATGAGTCTTTTTTTGTTCGTGTTCAGAGTGGTTACTAACTTAATCTTCTCTCCTCTTGCTGTCATCTGCATTCGTGCTTCCTACCTGTTGTTGGCATGTCCTTTACC